ATGTGGTCATGGGCTGTGAAAGTCGGTAAAAGAGCAGCGTCGCAGCTCGATGGGCTGCTTGGGGCTTCTGAAAACGCTCACAACTCGATTTTCATTCCTATTTTTGTGAGGATCCCTGACACTATAAATTTGTGTAATTTATTTGTGTTATCGCAAGGATTGTGTAAATGTAAAGACGTTTGTTTGGATTGTCCCGGCCAATGCTCCCCACAACAGAGTGCCAACACGTTACATTTTCATCTGGTGAAGTGGCAAGTTTTGTTTGACGGTGGATGTGAGCCAGTCAGCACCAAGTGTTTAACGTCGCAGTTGAGGTTCAAGAAGAGGCCAAATACTGCATGGCTATGTAAAGAAATGCCTCTGTTTGAAAGGAATAACCCAAACATGAGTTCTTGAAATGACTACACTTAAAGGGTTTGAGTAAGAGGTGCTTGTGATGTTTCTCTTTGTAGAGCCTTTATAATAAGTGATGAAAAAACCTCATCATAACCACGGTTGGCCAAACTGGTTCACTTAAATCTGGTAATCTGACGGAAGCAGCAGAACAGCGACTGTTTTGTTTGAGGTTTAGAGTTGCAGCTGAGCCATGGTGACTTTGTGGAAAGGAAGAGGAAGAAAAAAATAAGCAAGCAAGTTTTGGTAGGGCAACTTAGCGTCAGATCAGTCTCTTGTCTGGAAAACAACAATGTACAATGGCACAAGACGGCATCGCTCCAACACAAAAACACAAAATAGAAAATGTCATTGTTTTCCAAGTGAAGAAAATATTAACTTTTTATGTGAAATATAGAATATGAACCATAAATCTTCTTGCTTCCTTGTATTATATTGTGATTCTCATTTATGTATTGGTACTATTATTTAAGCAAAGCTATCAAGGTTATGAATAAAATAACCTAGACTAACCTAACAGCAATTAGGTGTTTAGATATGCTGCTATAGCTGTTTTACTCTGTTTAGCTGGAACCAAGACTTTCACAGAGTTGTCATTGAAAAACAAATTGTTTTCTTTTAAGTCTTGAAAACATTTTAGTAATTTTGTTCAATATTTATTCCTTATGGTATTCCACAATATAAAACATGTTTAATGCATTAAAACCTGCCGGTATAGCTGTTCTGTAGAAGTGAATTTCTCAAGGTTTTTTTTTTTTTTTCAATTTCTAATGTGAATTTCATATCAGTTTTTCCATGAAATATGTAGCAGAAAATATTGAGGTTCATTTTGAATGCCATTACAAAAACCTTGAGTGAATTTCTCAAGGTTTTTTTTTTTTTTTAATTTCTAATGTGAATTTCATATCAGTTTTTCCATGAAATATGTAGCAGAAAATATTGAGGTTTATTTTGAATGCCATTACATAGCAATCCTTCAGTTTCCCATTTCTTGTTGGTGCTTTTAGGTGATTTCCAAAATTTGGATATCATGAAGTGTGCTCTTCCAGGGCAAAAAATGTCACACATCTTGTGAGATCCATCACAGAATAAATAAATGACAACACCTGTGCTCCACTCTTGACTTCTATAGGTTTCCTGGCAACAAATGTCCTGCACAGGAAAGGTTTTCCCTCTCTGTTCCTGTTTATAATTTGAAGCAAGTAAACAGGGTCAGCTCATTCATATTTAATCTGTTTTGCTTTGCCTGCATATTTTCATACCGCATTTTATTGATGTTTAATGTTTTGGAAACTGGATGTTTTAAGTCAAACCAAACTCAGACTCCTTGTTTGTGCACACAATCATGGCCAATGAAGCTGATTCTGCTTATATATGGTTGGCAAATTTAGACTGACAAAACCAACAGTTCCAAAAAATATTAACACTCAGGGAAGAGTAAGCAAAAGTAAAGAGTAAAGAGAAAAATGCACAGAAGCTACTGTCATTGTGGAACCCTGCTTCTTAATCCTTCGTACCATGAAACTGAGCTAACTAATCTGTGGCTGTATGTGATGTTAGATCATACTGAACCATAAGAAAATTTGCCTCGACCTCATGTTGATTTCCTTTCAGCATTTTAAGTGTATCCTCTGAGTGTAGTGTAAAGGGTTTTTCCTTAAATGCGCAGCTTGATGTGGAGGTAAATGTCAGCAAAATCTCAGCTAGAAGACTGAATTCATCTCCCGTGCCAAATGCAACCTCCAGGCTGCGTCTTCATTTTGGCCTAGTAACCTACTTTTTTCTAACGTGTCAGCAGTGCCGGGGGAAAACACTGCACAGCCTGCAAAGCTTAGGACTTGAGAGCAGTTTAGATGGATCACCATGTGCGCCAATGCATACATTCCTCATCTGAATTCAATAGATGATTTTTTTTTTTTTTTTTTGCAACACTGAATAAAAAGGAAGAAAAGGTTACTAATCTGCTGTGAAGGACCATGGGTTGTTATGTTTCTCCAGTCACTCAATGATGTGTATATAGAGACTTTCCAGATGCCAAACAGTTATGACTGCATTTTCTACCAAATATTTGAGTATTTGGTCACTACAACATTCAATATATTATAAAATATATTGAATAACATGCTAAACGACCAGGTCATAAAGTTTATTGAACATCCAGCATTTACTCCTCATTACTGTGATGAATCCAGTTGTACATCTTAGGATATTGTTTTATGACCTCACTTCTCCACAGTTTGACGTTAGTGCACTCTGTTGACTAATTTTCTGACTTTGGGTGGCAGTGTTGCACTGGATTTATTACCCTGATATTAGAGTAGATGAAAGCACATCACACGTTTCACATTTTTATTTGTTAAAAAAAAAATTACAACTTCCTCTTCCTTCTACGTTACAGCATTTTGATACTTTGTGCTGATTGGTCACATAAACCTTAAAGAAAATATACTCTACCATGACAAAATGGGAAAAAGTTTAGCGTCAAACATCTTTTCGTAGCTATCAGTGAAACTAAATATAGTCCTTAGATTTGCTACACACAGGCTGCACTTATTAGAGCTTTCTCTCTGACACAGGTCTTTCATCAAACAAATATTATTACATGTAAAATCCAAACCTTATCCAATAAAGTCATCTTTTTGCTATTTCCACCTAAAACAAAATGTGATTTGATGACCTTTCCTGCTTCCATCAATGCAAAATAGATTATTGCTGCCCAGATGGCTCTTTTTGTCCCTTGTGCCTGTCAAAAAAGATTTTTCTTCTCCTCGTGTGACCTTTACAGAGTCACTGGCTGTTGTGCAGACTGGGTCTGAATATCATATTTTATATTGTTGCCCAGTTTCACAGTTGTTTCCAAGCATGTAGAAAAAGGCTGACATTTCCATAAATATAACAGATTTGAAGAGAAACACAATGTTAACTCAACCAATTAATGTGTGTGAGTGCTGAATGAAGGGATATTTAATTTGCACTTTACGCAGGATAGACAGATAGACAGATAGACAGGATAATTTAGGCCATTATTTTAGGTAGGAGACTCTAAATGGTCACAATAGTCCCTAGCTATTGACAAAACTTCTAATTTCCAAGAAATAAACCAGCATGATGTAACTCATACTCAACTCAGCCATTACAAAAGTACTTCATACTCCCTGAATGTTTCTGCCTATTACTGCCGAACCAGTACTTTATTGAGATATTTTGTAGAATAAAACAAAGTGGTGCACATTTGTAAAATGAAAGTGATAAATGTTACTTTTAAATGGTTTTCACAAATACATTTTTAAAAGTCTGCTCTACCTACCTCAGCACCCCCTGAGGTCAACAATTTCAGAAACAACCTTTTGCTTATTTCAACAAAAATATTTAGATGTATCACTTCTCCGTAAGCCTTCAAATGACGACTCCAACCGATATGGTTCAAAGAGCCTTTCCACTGGCTGCTTGTGAGCTTCGTCCTGCTGAAAGACGAACCTCCACCCAAGCATCAAAACTTGTCCAACAAGCTTTCTTCCCATATTGCCTGCTTTAACCACATTAAACTTCTTGTCACCTCTGACCTCCATCTTTGTTCCTGCTGAAGAAAACCAGACAACACGGCTAGGCTATCCCCTTTTTTTATTCTGCTCTCAGCACACCATGCCTGTAGTGATGTGCTTTATAAATAAATTTAACTTGACTCAAAAGCACGGTCCTTCTCAGTTAGCATCATGTAATCTCATGTATGGGACTGCAAAAGATTATTTGACGCGAGTCATTATTTTTTTCTGAAATGAACAGAGCAAAGTGAGATGCTGAAAGTTTGGATTACTTTTTTAGGATAAAACAAAAAAACAATGTGAAATAGGATTCTGCGAGATTCTGGGTTTTAGGTGAAGACCAGGGTGGTGAGAAGAATGAACCGATCATTTTGACAACTTTAAAATGACCTGATACTTAAAAACAGGAGGGACAGATCTAAACTGCTTATGTTGTTGCTTATATAGGCTGTTTATAGCTATGTAAATGTAGCTGGATGAAATGTAAATTGACAAGGAGGTTGCGTCAGCATCAGTATCAAGAAGTACCTCATATCCAAATAGGATTAGTTATAAAACTGCATTTTGCATCCAATCATGCAATACGGCTTTTATATTTTGCCCTTTCCCACACGCATCTCATTTAGAAAACACAAACTATTCACAAGCATCAACAGGTCGCTTTGCACAGTGCGTATGAAAAGGAGTGACCATAGCCTATGCCTCTGCGTCTGTGCCCTTGGTGGCTTAAATGCCCAAGGTCACAAGTTCCCACATTCATTTAGCAGGAATTTAGATCTCACTGATACCGATCAGAAACTGAATGCACTTATTGTTTTGTTTTCTTAGAAATGTTGATAAAACTCCCGATTCCTGGAAGTTGCCTCTTTTAATGAGAAAGCTTTAAAATATCATCAGGCGTACCTGTTCAGTCAGAAGTTTGTGTGTGTGTGCGTGTGTGTGTGTGGGTGTGCGTGTGTGTATGTGTGTGTGGTGCAGGGGGGGTGGTGGCTGAGGGGCTGCGAGGCGTTGCCAACACGAGCTGCGCGCTGATCTCAGACATTAGTTGTGTTTGGGCACCACAGGTTTTAGCGTCGCTCTCCAGGAGCTGCGAGCTTGAAAGTGTGAGCGGATCCGCCTCTTTGATCCCAAGCAGCGTCCGGAGAAGAAAACGTGCTGGAATTAGACTAGACAGACCGCCGTGTGTTTCCGATGGACCGGTCAGTGCGCGCTGGCACAGGAGGGAAGTGAACACCTCCTTTGAAGGGGCTGAGCAGCTTTGAAACTATTTTTTGGGGGGGAGGAAAAACTGTAAGAATGACAGCTGCCTTGGATATCAGTCGTGAATGTAAACTTCAGTTTCAGATACAGCTGTGAAAGTGATCGCGTTCTCCTGATTCCACTTTGCAGACCGCGCCAATGCTGGAATGGCTCGTGGCTTTCTGTGTTGTGATCCTGGTGCTTTTCATATGGCCAGGCACCAAGTATCTGTTTGGTCCCAACGCCTTCCCTCAGAGGCTGGGCGTTTCGCAGCTGGCAGCCGGCAGCGACGGTGCCCGCTTGGTGTGCGCGGAGGGAGCTGACGGCGCCGCGGGGGAAACACGCACCGTGTCGCTCATATGCAAGCCGTCCGCGCTGGCCAAGTACCTCCAGAAGCACTGCAGGACTTTCAGCTGCTACTCTCCGTGCAGCGGATGGACGTGGAGAGCCAGCGCCTTTCTGCAGAGCGCGTACGAGGCGTGCTGGCCGTGCGACAGCTCGGTTCAGTTCGTGCGGGACAACCTGCAGCTCAGCGATGACGGGCTGGTATCGCTGGACTGGGCTGTGCCGCCCTACCACAGGAGACGCAGGACTTCCAGTCACTCCACCAGCCCAGTTTTGCTCATCATCCCCAACTCCTTCGGCAAGATCACAAGGAATGTGGTGAAGGTAACTAATTCAGGCCTGAGTTCTGTTGCACAGTTGCCTGCAGAATATAGCCATAAAATACAAATTCGCAACAAGCTGTAAGCAGGAACAGATTGTTTCCACCAGACCTGTGGATGGGCAGCTCCTCCAAAAGTTGCCACGGACCTCTAGGGTATAACTCACTGATCAATGCTCTAATGCACAGGTGTCCAGCTCCAGTCCTCCAGGGCCACTGTTTTTAGATGTGCCACAGAAACAAAACACTGGAATGAAATGGCTTAATTACCTCCTCCTTGTGTCAGTCCTCCAGAGCCTTTGACCTATTATTCTATTCAGGTGAGGTGCAGCAGAGGCACATCTAAAAGTTACAGGACACCGGCCCTCAAGGACTGGAGTTTGACACCCCTGCTCTTATGTTTTAGTGATGTCAGCAATTGGGTTATTATTTTATGACATAAGCCCGTTTTAAACGTCTCCACGTGATTCTCCCTAATCTGTCTGCTGTGCTCCTTGACCTCCATGATGCTGTTTGTTCACTAATGTTCTCTAACAAACCCCTCAGGGTTTCACAGTTATAACAGCTGGATTAATACTGAGATCAAATCACAAGACTGGGCAACTGCTGAATGCTTGGTTCATCTCAGTGTTATTTATAGGTATTAAAGAGAGATAGAGGTGAATGCATGCCAACCCTTCTGATTTTTTTTTTATCTTTTGCAAGGACCTGAAAATGACAAGCTAATATAATTGGAAACTGCATTTAGCTGCATTTGATTTTAGTGTAGTCATCAAGTACGTTCTGATATAGTTAAATGCAGTGCTGTTGAAATACACCACCCTATAAATGTGAACGTGAACATAAGAAAATTTTTTATATATTTTTTTTGCATTATTTGAATGATGAAAAACTAAATTGAATACAGGCTCATGCGGTTTGCAAAAGCAATTCCATCTTCTCAAAGCAGAAGGGTTTTAGTAAAGTGGCACTGAAAGATGGAAACATCCCAATCTGCAATTTGGGGAAAACAGCAGCTTCCTGGGGCAAAGTCGAACTCCTTTGGAGGAAAAGAGCAACAAAAAACAGAGAGCTGACGCACGGCAGTCTTTCTACAGCTCCTTTCGATAGACTGACAGAGGTAATTGAGTGAGGGATTACAAAGCATCACTTGACTTGTGAAGCCAGGAGCACACCGGCTGGTCTCTCATTGTTCAGAGCACCTGGCATCACGCTTCATTGCACGCTCTTAAACTCTGTGTGTAAATCTGTCACAGGCTCCCTGTCAGCTCTATATCATTAAAGAAAAAGCCAGCTCTACAAGCAAGGTGTTAAAAAGCAAATATGCTCAATATTAACCTGTAAATCCCAGGAAATTTATGGGTGTTATGAAGCGCGTCGTTTAGACAGATGAGCTCCTCTTTCTTTTTTCATGCTCTCTGTTGGTGATGTAGTCATCCCTTCACATTTGAAAGAACTGTAGGCTAAAGTAAGAATTAAAACCACCTCTGTCACTAGTGAAATTCACTATGCAGAAAGAGATCACAGTATGAGAAAGTGAGTCAGTGTGAGATGAAAGCGCTTGTGCTGTGTGAGCACACACACTCGTGTCTGTATCTGAGACACAGAGAAGAACCAGAGAGAGAGATGTGGGTTACGGAGACTGTGATCTTCAGCTCCCTTTTATCACAGAACAAAATATTTTTAAATGGATGACTTGTCTGAACTTCTGTGATTTTATACTTTTGCAAATATGTTTTCTTCTACTTCCAATCCAACCCGTCTTTATTTGTAAAGCACCTTAAGACACCATACAGGACCAAAGATGTTAAAATGCTAAAATCAATAAAAAACCCATAAAACAGGGGAAAGAGCAAACACCAAAAATTAGCTTCTCAAGGGACGTCAAAGGCCCAAGAGATGAGTTTTAAAAAGTAAAAAAAAAGACAGAAAATAGTTAAGTTTATAGGTTGAAGACAAAAGACTACACTAAAACAAAAAAAACAAAAAAGATTTGAAATGTACAGGCAGCCAGTGGAGAGGAGCTATAATTTGGGTTATGTGCTTATATTAACTTGTACAAGTCAAGTGTGCTTTCTACCATCTTGAATTAGAAAATAATAGAACCAATACCAAAAGTGCATTGTGTTAATCAAGACAAGTTTTGGTAAAGGCATGACTTAGAATCTCTAAATGATTCTGAGAAAGGCTTTGCTTTACTTTAACCATCATTTACCCCACAGATAGTGATGTTTGTCTTGGCATAGTCGGCCAAGGATCCTATATCTACGGGGACGGTTTCTTCTGTGCCAACAAACCATAACTTCTGTTTTACTTTTATTAAATTTTAGAAAGTTGAAAGATATCCAGTCCTTTACATCATTGAGATACTGTGATGTAGCACAGAATACAGTTTTCTTTGATAGTGGGACATAAATCTGAGTGTTGTCGGCATAATATTGGAGAAACGTGCCACAGAGCCAAGTGGGACCAAATAAAGAGACAGGAGCTTTGTTAATTCAGTTTGGCATATATAGATTCACTTTAAGAATTTATAATTTTTTATCCTCATTCTGAAAGACATCACACCGAAGGAACTGCAATAAATTGAAGGTGTGGAAAGATGTGTAGGAAGGAGCCCAGTTTTCATTATTAAAGAGAAGTATTTTCAAAACCCATAGATATTCCTGCAGGCAGACATCCAGCAGTTGTACCCATCTCACCTTACAACATTAACTCCCCTGCTGAAAGAATGACTTCATCGAGCACTTCATGACCTAGTAAAGGTGAATTTAATGTGTTTTACACATTGTGGAATTGATTTTTAGGTATAGTTCTTTTCGTGAGACCCAGAAAATAATAGTTGTATTATGTGGGGATTTTCTTTGCAATGTATCCCTCAACTTTTTCGGTCTAAGAGAAGAGCAAGCTGCTTTGACTGATTAAATTTTTAGTGGGATGCAATTTTAACTGGGCTCCGGTGCAGGAAATGTAGGAACAATTTATTGGTAATGGACATGACCCTATCACCTCTGGATATAATCATAGAGGAAAAACTCAGCTTTTCCGAACCTGATTTACCATCAATAAAACGAGCTGTATGAGTCACCTGCATAATTATAGTTAACCACGAATTACACATATCAAATGCTTAGTCTTGCAAAAGTTTGGCCATCCACCGAACATTCAAGGCACATTTTGTCACATAGCAACTAAAACCTTCAATGTATCTCACTGGAATTTTACAGGACAGATCAACACAAATTAGTGCATATGTGTCAAGTGGAGTCAAATATAATAAGAAATTTTGTTTTTGGCAAAAATGTCAAGGCCCTATTGCCCATCAGGTTGTTTACAGTGCAGGCTTTCCGGTAAGCTTCATTGAGCTGCTGCATTGCAGACGTCATGGGAAGACATTAGCGATTGCCTCCAGCAAGCAATCTTTTCTCAATACCCTGCAGGATGTATAGTACCTGAAGAGGTGAATCTATTTTATTGTTTCGCTGTCTGATGATTTGTTGCATTTAAAGGTTTGTCGATGGGATTGGATTTTAGTTCTAAATGTGAAATAACTTGAACTAATCAATAAGAACTGAAGGAAGTATCACTCGTCAGTATAGAAACCCTCTGCTATAGTAACACTGTAAGGTCAGAGAAGGGAGTTTTGTCCAGTGTGCAGTCTCTGCTTCAGGAATTTATCACCGAGCTGACATTTAATCAGCCTTGTTAGAAAACTGCTGAAGCAACTTGTTTCTTTTGACTTTTTCTACAAAGGAACAAACATTTCTTTTGTATTCCAGTGTGATTTTCAATATTTTATGAAAAATATCGAAAATATAAAAAAATGACCTAATGTGCAAACTAAATGTATAAAATCTGTTCATCTCCAATTTAAGATTCATAGAAATCACATTAAAAGTGCATTGATGCTTCGTGGTCCCCGTGTCTGTGCAGGAACAATTGTGCCAGCGAAATCCAAATAATGCCTTTTAGGTTGTCAGTGTTGCTAAAGATCTTTGGAAATTCAAGCTGAAGTGTGCAGATTTGATTCATATGTCTTTTGCTCATGTTATCTATTTGAATAACAATGATTCACTATAAATGAGTGACGTTTTGGTGTAACAGTTTATCAATGCACTTTTCTGACTGTCTTGCAGCTTTTAGAGTAAATCTTATCTTCTGCTGTAAATGTTTGATCTGTTCCTTCTCCTTCATTCAGGTCTACTTTATGTAGAAACTGATCAAAAAGTTACATTTTTGCCCAGTGTGTTATCTGTTATGCATATAACAAAGTGCATCAAGTTTACGATAAATTTTAGTGATTTAATTGTTTGCAGGTTGATCTGAATCTGACTGTGGAATTTTATCGGAATTAATTAAACTGATTAAAATTAATTTGGACCTGATTCTTGATTATTGTATAAAAAATCGACCCCTTTTTCATGCAAAGTGGTTTGAAAACAAAATTTTTTGACATTTGCTCAGGTCAGTTTAATTGATTAGTTATGTTGTGGGTTTGAATGAAACATTAGCTTTAGAAGGAAGTAAAATGGTTGCTTGCTGCCATGCGGTATTTATTACAAGATATAAACACAGGTTGTAATTTTTCCTTCCTCTGTTTGATATGAAAAAGTCTGCAGCCTTATTTGGATTTAATTAGAACATGCATTGTTTTCTGAAACTGTGAGAAAAAGTCAATTTCTTTTTTTTTCCCCCAGATGTGAGCAAGAGAGAGTAAAACAATACTTTCAATCAGCTACAAGTTAATGTAATGATAAAAAAAATAAAAATAAATCTACAAAATTGTTTTAGTCAAATATATTTATAGGTATCTTTTATCATTTCTTTACAAAGCACTTTCAGGGTTATCTGACCATGTCACAGCTGTGTTTCGAATTAGTGGGCCCAAAAGGGACAGTGGCCAAAGAAGAGAAATTGCTTAATTCTCTGACATTTAAAAGAGGCTAGGTCACCCAAATTCAATCACTGGTTTACTCATAAAAACAACAAAAGTTAATTGCGTCACATCATTCCAGCCTGTAAGCGGTTCCTTATCAACCACTCCGACCTTTTTGAGACATTGAATCATTTATTATCCTGTTTCTGCTCTGTGTCTGTACAGCTGTGTGAATCGGCTCTGTCCCACGGCTACCTCCCTGCGGTCTTCAACCGCCGCAGCCACAACAGCACTCCGCTCACCACCCTCAAACTGCAGCAGTTCGGCGACCCTTCGGATCTGCGAGAAGCTGTGCGCTACATTCGCTATCGACAGCCCGCCGGAAGACTGTACGCAGTGAGCGAGAGCTCAGGGTCGGGCCTCCTCCTGTCCTACCTGGGGGAGTGTGGGTCCTCCAGTTATGTGACAGCAGCGGTCTGCCTGTCACCTGTGTTTCGCTGCCAGAGCTGGTTTGAGAGTGGGCTGTGTTGGCCCTTGCAGTGGGTGCTGGCACTGTATCAGAAGATATGTCTCAGCAGGTAAGGAGGGGAAGATGAACGAGATGAAAGCATAATTAGTGGTTTAATGACACGTCAAGTTCACGAGTTAAGGTGATACGTCAAAATGAGGTTCGCCAGACAAGACAAACTTTGAGCAATGTCTTGGGGAAAACTTTTAGATTTTGAAACAAATTTAGAAAAAAGATTGCAATTTGGCTTTTAAAGAATTTGAAATCGGTAAATGTGTGACAAATTCCGATGACACAAGATCTACCAATATGCGAAATAATGTCTCTGTTTCAAAGAACTAATCAGTTGCTACCATCATGTTACTGCTACTGATGAACTTGTGTGCATAAGCACAAAACAAGCCTCTGTTGAAGTCTCTTCTTCGGGACCATTTCTGGTTCAGAGTAAAATAATAAAAACACTTCCAATCAGCAAACTATTTCATGTATTACTGTGACAAAAGTTTCCCTTTCATCATCTCTGATCAGATATTTAAAATACTTATTTTACCCAAATCTGAATTAGTTAATTGCACATTGACCCCTTAATTCTCACCCTCAAATTGTTAACGTGTAAGTCAATGAAAATTAAGGGGTTAAAAGAGATCTTTTAACACAGTTTTAATATAATGAAACCTTTAACCTATTAATGATCAACAGGTTTTTTTAAAATGCCTCTGCTGGTCCTCAAACCTTCAAATGTTGAGGGGTGTTGAAATATTCACAAATTAAATTGTTTAGGTGTTATTTGACAGATTTCTCCTTATAAAGAAAGATTAAACAGTTTATTCTTAAGTTCATGACGCAAGGTGACAAGCCTTGATTTAAACCAATTTCTATCAGGTTGGAAAAAAACTGACTGTCTATAATTGTGGAAATAGAAAAAATAAAAACAATAAGGGAGACAAACACCTGCCCTGTTTTGTTTTTGTGACCTCCAAAGCTGCCAGATAACAATTGGCTGAAATGATCTGCAAACAGACCAACTGTGCAAATGTGTGCCTTTTAAAAATAAAGAGGAAACTGAACCTGCTTTAGGTTCGACCTTTGGCACCTCTAAATATTATTGTATCACAGGAATCTCTAATAAAATCATATTTTTAAAGGACTTTGTGTAAATTTAGTTTTAAACCACCTTACTCTGCCATGAAACTTACCCAATGCATTCTTTTAACAATGTTTTTCAGGTTTGTTAGAGTAAAACAAAAACAACTTTTGTTTGATTTCTCTCATATCTCGCCCCAAGATATTCTGTCTTCATAGAGACATTGATTAGTTTTTTTTAAAGGAGCATTTAAAAAAATAGATCGTTTAAACTGAGATGAAATAGAAATTTTAGACAGTGCAGTTGCAGGTACTCAGAAACCATTTATCGGAGAGGCATACGCTGTTGGAGGGAGCAATTAAGTTACCACAGCAACAGATGGCCTGCTTGATGTCAACTTAGTGATTCTGAGAGACATCGTGACCCAGGTGAAGTTCCTCAAATCAAGGCTATTAGACAATCTGAGACCTGTGCGGCTCTTGAGCATTGATTTATTGTTTTCCACCTAGTGTCTCTCTTTTCATGTCCTGCTTTGTTCATTTGCGTCTGTCCTCATATTGCAGGTACAGGACGGCGCTGGGGGACATCATCCACACGGACACTCTTTTTTCTAGCTGTTCCCTGCGTGGGGTGGAGGAAGCCCTCTTCTGTCAGTCTAGATGCGTAGGCTCCACATCTGGGACCAGCAGTGGTTACAGCGCGTCAGGAGCCTGGGATGCTTACTGGGAACGCAACGAGCCCTTAAGAGACGTGGATGAGGTGGCTATTCCTGTTCTGAGTGTGTGCTCTAAAGACGACCCTGTGCGAGGAGACGCCCAGTCCTCCCTGCCCCTGGAGCTCTTTGAGACAAACCCTCACTTTTTCCTCCTTCTGACAGACCATGGAGGTCACTGTGGCTTCTCCACCCAGTTGGATAGAAGTGCGGGAAGCGCAGCAGGCTCTGTGATCGCTACAACTGCAGTGGACAACCATGGCACCAACTGGAGTCACAAAGTCATGCTGGAATTCTTCCGAGCGACCACAGACTTCTTCAATGCAGAGGAGCGAGCGAAGCAGTTTGCTGCGAGGAGAAGAGGGCGGGGAGGGGCTGCAGGAGGGTGGGCCTTTCGTTACCGCAGCGTCAGTACTTGTAAACGAGTGCCAGCGTGTTCCCATAATATTCATGCAATTTATAACTGGCAAAGATCGTATACTCGATGAGGCAGAGGCAATTTTTTGAGTTTCATTCTGTGTGTTTGTGCTCAGACTTGTATAAAAGTTGATGAAAGCTGCAAAATGTCTCCAAGGCTGAGTTACTTTTTTCTCTAAATCAGCTCTTTATGTTTTTTGTTTTTTAAAAAAAATCAAGTCCCCTATTGCTTGAGTCATCGCAGTGTAAAGTATTGCATCATCATTGTTGTATAGTTTGGTGTCAATGCATATTATACACAAAACCTTAAACAATTTAGAGAGCTGCAAGTCAAAAGCTCCTCAGGATGTCTGGTAGATGCACTCATACCTGAACGATGCTTATCTGGGAAGGTTGGGGAAATCAGTACCAGATCAAAACAGAGTTCTGATAATTGCATGCTTTTGTCATATTCAACAGCTGAAATTCTTAAACTTTTGCATTTTTTCTATGTGTTAATAAAAAGTTCTATTTAATGTCATATTAATATTTTTCACTAAAGTGATTATTCATATTCATGTGTTCATGTAGCATGGCACATTTTTGTCAGGTTTTCCTATTTTGAGTGCAGATGTTGCAGTTTTTTATTTCATGTAGAATATATTAATTGAGTTATGCCTTTGCTTGGGAAAGAAAGTAAACTAAGTAGAATTTCAAAAGAAGTAATAATGAATCATATTTCTATTACTATGTACATTGAAGATATATTATTTGTGTGTCATTTTCAGGGAAATGTCATGTGAACAGAGAAACAGTTTCTTTTTATTTCCATTCTCATCATTTAATCGTCCATCAGTCAAATTCTTCAAAGCCAACTAATATAAATATTGTTTTTTACCCTTAAACTTTATTTGTGTAATTTCAAAAAAGATCACATTTATTCATGTCAAAGATCAAATATTTGAACTCGAAATCTTCATTATGACTATCAAGACCTGGTGTTTAAGCTGTCAGACTAGATAGTAAAGCTACCATACAGGAGTAAATCTGGCTTGTAGGCTACAGAAAGGACAACAAAAACAAAGGAGAAGGATACTGCTGTGAAAGCCAGGAATGCTTTGTACTTATTGACATTAAGCCACATAATTGATGGCCGAAATTATACGCAGTTTCCTTTCAATAAACAATTGCTTTCATTAGCTTCCAGAAAATTAACCTATTGAGGCAGAATTGCCCTTTCTCATGTCACTTATTCAATTGCGAGCCAATTCCAGTCTGCCTCAGTGAGCAGACGCTGATTTAATTAAAATGACTGATACTTAGTTAACAAAGAACCACGGCTTCAATAGCAAAAACAAAATTGCTAAACTGAGAAAAATGCATAAAAAAATCACACTATTTGTATCTGAAAGACAGAAAAAGGAAGAAACAATAATGCGGCTTCTATTGCTTGTTTCCATCATGTGTCCTTTTTTTTACAGCACAAAAACACTTGGCCAACTTTTTTTGTTGTTGTTGTTTTTGATATTATGAATCACTGCTGAAAGGTAGCAAAATACAAAAGCAGCAGGAGTTATGCATGATAAACTCTTAGGAACAGGAGTGGATAGGTAGTAGCTCCGAGTCTGAAAAGTGATGGCATTTTTTACTTTAAACAAAAATGCAGCCTGTTTTAATGACGTTTTATATTTTACTCACCACAATGCTGTTGAGGAAAATGGAAATGGAGTGCTACACCGTTCTGAAATACACAGTTAAACTTTTATCCTAAAATGTTGCAAGGTCTGGAGATTGAACCAAAATTTAGACACGTGTCAAAGAGCGCTCACACATGAGAGTGACTGAAGTGGAAAGATTTAGGGGCTGAGAATGACAAATCAGCCAGGCAGACATGGCAACAAAGAAATTCCCATTTCTGTATTGCAACGATCAGTGACAACAAGTCCTGGGAAGATTAGCGTAATGTACATAATATATTTTGTAAAGACTCATGACTGTACAGCGAACAGCATGTCATTGTTACAGATGTAACATGATATTGACATCTCACAAGATTAGGTTCACAAGATTGGAGGAAGATTCATCTTAAACAATATTTTGGGAAAAACTCTTTTTTTTTGTTTCCCACAAATAAAGTTTATAAAAATGAATAACAGTGTTTGGAAAAATCTTCTGTATCTTTTTTGCATTCTGGTTACTATTTGTATTTGTTATTTTTCAGGAACCTAAAATCTGCAATGTTGACAGATTAATAACTGAATCAATGAAATTAATAAAGGCCCAAACTTTCATACTGTCAAAAGTGACGTTTGACTGGGATTTCGACTTTCTGGTGAAGAATCGTTTCCCTGTGTGCAAGAAGCCTCCAAGTTTCACACGTGCAAGAATTCATACTTTAAGTTATGCGGTCAAAATAGATCTAATGCCTGGAGTTCGACTTCTATTGCAGGAAAATTTTATGTATGCGACAGCCATGATAGTTCAAATTAGTACCACCCACAGTAGACTCAATATATGTACATTTAATTATTTTTTATATTTGGAAAGGTTTGTAGATTATAGCACAGGTGCCTAAGGTACATTGCTACACGCCATGGCAAACTTAAAAAAATAATAATAATGAAATTCTCTTTGAAAACAAAATGTTTAATGTTTTTGGGCTCTTATTAAAATCACATATTCGATTTAAAAGTTGTGGATCTTTAAAGCTTTTGCAACTATGCATTGTCAGTTAAGGCATGGTGAGTAGTCCTTATTAGCCGTCAACCTTCCTAAAAGTTTCAATCACAAAGAGTACAGGAGAAATGCTATATCCAATAACTTCATGTCTGGGTTTTACCAGATCAAATATCATACTGTCAGGACATAGACTTCAAACTGTTGATAAATATAGTGAATATCTTATATTTAATTTCTCTACACTTCTCACAGTTATTTAACTCTTAATAATCCTGCAAGATTAAAAAGGTTGCAGCAGAAAATGTTCCTGAACTCACTGAATGTCAAGTCTATGAAAACAGAAGGGAGAAAACACAAAATACAACTGAGTTGCTATAAAGCAGGTGATGAGACAAGAAGCATCGAATTATTTAGCATGAAAGTATAGAACCACTTGACAAGATCATGAAAAAATACAGGATGTTAGCCTCGGCTAACATCCTCTGATGTTAGCCGACATCCTCACCACATTCGAGACCAGTAATGTTTACATTCTGGACAGAGAAGTTGGGAGGAGAGAAAACTGAAGAAGCTTATCCGTTAAATGGGATAAACCAGACGTAAACGGAGGAGGAGGCTTCCAGATCACCAACACCACTTTTCTTGTGAAAAAATAAAAAATTGTCTTTCTTCTGGTGCTCAAACATAACTGCACACTGAAAAATGTAGATCACCTATGTATTACCAAATAAATATGCTGTGGAAGTCAGCAGAAAAAGACAAAAATATAATTTGAGTGTTGTTTTATTCTCAATGTCTTCCAATCCAAACCAAAAATAGAATGTAGTGAAAAGGTGAGGTGTCTTCTCACCTCACCTTCTCCCCTTCACAATAAGAGCATACATTCGGGTGTGAGATATATACATTGTATAGGCAACAATACATTACATTTATGTAGAAATATCATCTGTTTAAACTGTTTTTATTTTGCTGTGTCAAAGAAAAGATTAAGAACAGCACTCCAGGAAGAGAATTGATTTGGAGCAGTGGCGCCATCTTGTGGCCGTGGTGTAGAAAAACGTTTCCCACCATATTTGTAGTGTTCAGTCACTCACACCTCCACTGCTATTCACTGAGTGACAACACTTAAACATTTTCTGCTGACTGTCTGAAAATGTTGCCATAGTGTCGACGTTTGACCTGATACATTTCTGTTATTTCTAACTGGTTTGTTAATTGCTTCTAACAGAAACCCAGGTGGCACAATTCCCGCCCCTCTCAATGTCAGTATTCTGTACCCCTGCCCTCCTCCACCTTGCCCCCAAGACAGCAGTTTGTCTTTTCCTAAAACATTTGACATTGTTGAAGCAGACAGAGAGAAAGAGAGGAATCTTTTACCAATCCTCATGATGTCTGCACATTTTCTCTAATGTTCTCTTATCTTCAACTCACCAAGCAGGGAACTGGGAACTGTTATGTTCATGTAATGTGGTTTATATTTTGGGTGCTTGTTGAAACCTTTTATTCCTGTGTCTGTATGTTTTTGGTTATTATTCTGTGTAAAGAATCAATGAATATCTATGCTAATTTGCTAGTAGGGTTTTTATTTAAAATTTTCTGCCAGGTCGGTCGGTAGCTATCTAGGTAGGTAGGTAAGCAGACAAGCAGAAGTGTTTCAGTGCTGCAGCAATAAAATATTTTTTTAACCTTATATTAACTGAGACTTTAACGGCAGCAACTCTTATTTATTCTTATAATCGTACTGTTAAAATAAAATATTAAATATAAAAAGAGTGAAGATATAAAGAGGTTTCAATGGAATAATCAAAAATATAATCTTATGACACTGATCAAATCTTCTGAGGCGCAAAATACTGACACCAACTACCTGGATTCTATTAGCGAAGATCAGATTCAATCGCTCAGCATTCGCTGAAGCTTCACATCCTTCATGCTTTAAATAGGCTTGTCTGTGTCCCTCTGACCTGATTTCACGGTGATGAACCATGCCATCTGAGCCATGAACTATCTATATCAGAAACGGGCCACCCCTCCCTCCTCTGTGACTAAAGCCGCCAGCAGAGGGCAGCATCTCGGGGCTTCAACCTGGAATATTCCATGCTCCGGCTTCCTCAGGGGTTGCCTCTCCGCTCACACAGACAGTGACGCAGCTATCTCTGCTTTTGGCTTGGAAACTGCCTATATATTTAGCACCTTGTTTAAAATTAGAGTCCTGCACATGGGGAATATATTTAGCTGATAGTTTAAATAGATACCTGCTGAGTCACACAGGCTGGACACAGCTACTATAGTATATCTGAGGCAGATGTAAAAAGAGAATCCACCTTCTGTAAACGTATAAACAAGTATGGTGAGGATTTATGGGGTACTTTATGCCACATACGTCTGCAGTGACAGTGAGTTAAAGGCAGTGAACAGGAATCTCAGGACATTTTCAGTGCCACACCTTGCTCTAATTAGATGATTGCGACCAGAACTACCTTACAGGTACATGACTGCTTTTAAATTCGCCGTGAAAAGTGATGAGGGAAACAAGAACAAAACTGCAGTCCAGGGAAATATGAATATTTTATACGAACAGAAAGGAATAGGAATTAAACATAGCTTCTTGAGGCTGTCGTCTGAAGTTGCAAAGGTTTATAGCAGCTAATGCATATTTAAAGGCTTCTAATCAAATAGGTGCCTTTTTTTATATATTCAATGTTAACCATCTGTATGTCATTAATCACGGTGCTTACTTTTGGTCAACAAATCAATAGATAATTGATGTGGTGATGACAAGAAGCTTCATCAACGTGTCAGTCTGCCCAGAAACGACATTTTTCATAAACCTCAAATATATCATAAAGTCTAGATCAATAACATCCAAAACACTGTTTGCAGCAAAACACAGGAGGAAATTTCAACTAGAAAATCTGACACATATTAAGTATAAATACAGGTGAGATTATAAATATTCTTTATTTATTCACTATTTATGTTTTGTCTTTCAGCAAACAGAGACTGGTGAAATTTTAGTTTTGATAGATTTGACGACATAAACGTTTGTTTAAACATCTTCATGCATGACAGTTGTCAAAAAGCATGTTGGATGCAATAATGTCAAACATGTTTAGAAGTTGTCCTTGTCACCTCGGTAACGTGAAGCACAGATTTACCCTGAATAAACTGGATAAAGCACATGATCATTTTATGCTGACTGTAAAACAGGACATTTGAAAGGAAGTAGTCATGTTTCTGTGTCACAATTTTTGAAAAATGGATCTCTGACTTTGTGTTTTGCAGAGAAAATTAATACTTTGCAAAATTTTTTGGCTAATTGTTTTAATCTGGACAGTGCAGACATTTCATTCTTTATGCCCAGGGAAGCTGTATGTTAAATATTTATATTCAAGCAATTTGGTATCAAATCCCTTTAATTTAAAGACAGTATTCTAATTTAGACGTTTAAAACATTTAATCTTCAATTCAAGAAAATAAAAGTTTTAAAATGGTGTGAAGTCCTTTCACGGTGTTCATATTCTATAATCTCAGATGCTGGGTGGTTTTATCTGCTGTAGTTTCCTCCTCATACACAGGTATTTAAAGAATTTCAAAAAGTCTTTCTAAGCCTCTTAAAAAGGAAGCCAACGTGCTCAAAGATGTTCTTGGGATACCACGTCACATTTTACCTGTCAAACACTCTGTACTGTGACTTGTGTTTACCTGAGACTCAACCAGCAGGTATGTGAAGCTTGCCTGGAGCACAAATTTCTGAACTGTCATGTTACATGGGTCATATTGGGTGTGGCCTCATTTGGCTGGTTAAAAAAATGATCCGTGTAAGGCATACACCCGCTGTCATATAATGCTTTTCTTATTGAGCCGCAGAGAAGTCAAACAGGACAATTACAGACAAAAACAGACTGCATGGAAAGCAAAGAGGGTTAGCTCAAACTGATGTTTAGAGTCTGTGCATGTTGCATGTGCGTGCATGTCTTTTGCTCTGCACGCTAAGAGGTTTGTGTAGGTATCCACCTCACCTTTAGGCTAAATTTGAGTCAGCCAGTGTTCAGAACACCTGAAACAATGTGACAGTTTGGCGTGATCCTGAATTTTTTTCTGCACATGGTTGGATAGGAGTGGGAGCTCGAGGCTGTCAGTTGTTACTTTATTTTTTTGTTAATTAATTTAAAAAAAAAAAACACTATCATAAGGAACTCATTATCTTCTGCTGTTTCTAAACATTTAAATGTAAAAATGTGAAACCAGTCACTTATCTATTATAAGCATAAAGCAATGGCTTGCTTTTAAGTTCAAAAGTAAATTGCAGCATTTGTGAAGAAGCAGCAACAAAAATCTATTCTTTTCTTTTTAAAAGGTTTTATTGACCAATAAAGGTTGTGGAGAATGGCTTGACAGGAAAGTGGGTAATGAAAGTGTGGGAGGACAGGAAGCAAGGGTCACCTGGCCAGGACTCGAACATGTGACATCCGTGCCGAGGTCTAAGTCCTCCATACTTGCGTTATGCTTTACCACAGCACCACTACTCTATCTTTTCTAAAAGTCAGAAAAATCCGGTCTAACTGTATCCATAGGTGACAGAGCAA